CCAAAACCATTTCACATACTCATTTTCCCCAAGTGTATACATCAACACTTCATAATACTTTTCATCTAAAATTGTCCACTGCTACATAAAACCCTCATTGGCAAATTCAGTGATTTTGAGGTATGCAAAGACAAATCATGATATGTCTGTCAAGACGCTCACTGATTCCAAAATTTCCTTTGTAGGTCTTCCATCAACCATGCACCTGTACAAACACCATTAAAGTGGAACCAATTTTCAAAATCACATATCAATGTGGTAGAAGCACAAACAATGCTAGTGTGAAGGTAACTAACAAATTTATACACATTCAAGAGACCTGATATGTTCAAAGTATGAGCTTTGATTTTGTTGTTGCTGGTGGGGAATTTATTGGACATTCAATGATGTGTGATTTGATACAATGAGGTATACATACACCGAGTGTTGATTGAAGTTGCAAAATTACAATCATGATGTATAAAAAATTCAGATATGTAAGGTTGTTGAGTGGATGGAAACAGGGGCAATATCGGTGGAAATGGATGCTCCGGATATCAAGGAAAAGTATGACTATTTATAGGCAGCTGAGTACCAACCACATGGAATTACTTGCGCGTAAATTGGCACTTCAACTGAACAGGAACAACCAGAGTTGGAACGAATAAAAGCACAGCAAAAGTAACAAAGGCAAAAATACCGGGTAAGAATAAGTTTGTGAGGATGGAACACCAAACAAAGATGCCAAAATGTACTCGAGTTTTGAGTTAAATAAAATCAATAGCCAATCAATTGCAGCAGCGAATGAGCGAATAGAAGCACCTTTGGTGATCAATCGAACAAAAAGTAATATATAAAGCAGTGAAATTTTAACACAGTGAATGGGCAAATGATGGCACCTTTGGTGGTCAAAGAGACAAAAAACAATAGAACCAGAGGGACTTTTAACAAAAACAAAAATCCAGATCTTGATCTTTGTAAAGATAAAAACAAAAAGACCGATAAATAACTTTAGAGGCGCAGTCGAGCCACAAACAATAAAAACTTGCTGCAATGAGAGATGTGCTTCATACTAAAAGCAGCCATGAGCAAGCTCCAAAAGTATCAGAGGTTTGCTGTATACGGAAAAAGTCAAAAAATCATGTTGGAACAGGTGCGAGTCAACAAAAAGGTTAAAAATAAAAGCATGCTTACTTTTATAAAATGTTGTTGAATATAAGTATATAAGAGGCAGAACTAAAAAATGGATAATGTGGGAAGTAGGCATATGCTTGGACCGAAAGGACTCGACTCATGCGAGTACCTTGGAACATTTTGATATTCAGATGGAGGCTCATGGAATGGGCAAAAAAGCTTAACGCATAAAACATCAACCACGGCGACGTTTCAACGGAGAGGAATGATCAGCGGTGTGGTGAGCAAGATCTCTACTTAAGCAAAAAAAAATTAAAAATTATGTGGAAACTCGAGTTTTTGGTCAAAGGCACTATTTTTATTGAGGTTGTTAGTCATCAAGGTTATTAAAGTGGATTCATTATTTTCATTTCATTATCTTTCAGAATATATATTTACATAAGCAATTGACAAGATCATTTAAGAGCAAAGAAAAATTCGAAAAGATCAATAAGAATAGTAAAAGAGTGAAAATCATATTAAGAGAATTAGTAAGAAGGGATTTGAGGAAGAAGAACATTTAGTTTGGATCTTTAAGAATGGAAACTGTTATGAAAAGAATGAAAGAGGAAGAAGAATATAAAGCAAGTTGGAGAAAAATTCGAAAATATGGGTATGAAAGCTTGGAAAGTGGTTTTTAGCTTATTAATAGAAGAGATATTGGTTCAGGAAGGTTTTATTGTGAAAGAGAAGGATCACATTAGTCATCAACAACTTTAATCATGAGGATTGATAAGGGAGGTGTGAAGTTATTCAAGAAAAGGGAAATTTCGAAGAAGGGTACTATGGTATTAATTCCTGTGTAGTGATGTCATTGATGGATTGGTTGCGCCAAGAGTTTTTCAGAAGGATTTTAGTGCTGTGTGATTGATTGGAGCGCTGTGGAATGATCTTTTGATAGAAGGAAAATCATTATTAGACGTGAAAATAGTCAAAATTCGTCAAAAATGGGAGTTTTTAGTTAATTACATATGGTAAAACTTGTCAGAATTGGGTGTGTAATAGTTCATTCGACGCAGAATCATTGGTTTCATAATGTACAATCTTTAAATCATTAGTAGCGGAGGGGTAGTGAAAAAGTTATAAGGCAACAAAGAAACTGGAGTGAATTTCGAATTTGGAGGTTACATGTGACATTTACATGACAAAACCTTATTTTTGCAATCTTTACAACTCAATAACTTATTCATCACACATCAGAAATAGGTGATATAGGGGTGATAAATGATAAGAATCACGAGGGCTATCAAATGAGCTATAGTAATCCAAAATTGAACAACTTTACAAAAAATTTGTAATTCCAAAAATGGATTTCAGCTATGAATATTAGGAAAAAATCACCTGTATTCATCATAAGAAGATCTGTTCATCATTTATTCACATCAATTGATCAAATTCACGCCTTGAATCATTACAAACAATAATCTTTATGACATCATATGATTACATTGGAGGATATTCTGTTGATTTTGACGGTTTTTGAGGGTTTTTGGAGGTTGTTGACCATTGTTGAAGGTTGTTGGAGAGTTATATACTATTGTTAAGGATTTTACGGGCCTTTGTTCCCCTTTTTACTCATCTTATACTTTTGTTAGAGTGTTTTTAATCATCATTAAATTACTTTACCAGTACTAAGTTCACTAAATAGCCCCTTTACATCAAAGGAGAGATTTCTTTACGTGTGATAAGACTACAAGTCTTCATTTGGAATAACAATCAAACTGATTGTTGCTTGCTAGTAATTAAAATTGTGTTTTTGTTGTGTTCAAATTGGAATAACACTACAATAGTGTTGAGATTTCTCTATTTCTAAAAACTCACGGGAATAATACTTGAATTAAGTATTGAGACAACTTTCTCTGGTGCCTTATCCCAAAGAATTCAGCAAAACCCCGTGTTGATTCTTTCAAAGAGGCAGTCTTAGGCAACTTCTACTAGATACTTTATTAGTAGATTATCCCTCTTTAAGCTCTGTAAAGCTCTTGTTGAGCTTTAAGTTCTACAGCGGTCTCGGTGGTGGATGCATTCTCGTCTTTTTCTTGCTGGAGAACGGTTCCGTCAGTCGCAGCACCTTGGCTAGAAGTTTGTGCATCGCTTGACGGCCCATTGAGACTAACCGCCTATGTACTGGCGACGGTGTTAGCTTTGTTTCGGCGTCTATAGCATTAAATTAGTAAGCAGAGTGTCAATGCACGAAAACGGGAAAACATACAAAGTTAATGGGACTCGGCCACCTTTAGGCGTTCCAGGTTTGTTAATGATCTTGTTGGCTAGGCTGGGAGCATCGCCTGTGCATCGACTGATGGCCGACACCTAAACAGTACTGTCAGTAAAAGAAAACAGGACGTGATTGCATTTTCACGTACTTTGGTTTCCCACATGAAGTTGACCCCATCATAGTCTTTGATTGCACCTACCAACTGCACTTCCCGACCAACTTGACAAATGTTTTGTGCTTTTTCCATGTTGCGAACTGGAGGAATGTGGTGCTTGGTATACCAAGTCACAGGGATCTTTGTCTGCGAAACGGTGTGCGATCAATATTATAATTGACTGCGCGGAAGAACTGCATTTGCTTACCAAAGGATCATAGTCTTGGGATTGTAGAGTGATTACGACGGTGGGCTTGCCTTTGTAGGCTGGATCTTTGACAGTCTCGCGCGCAGTCACATAACCCAACGCAATCATAACAGTCTTGTCCATGAGATCCTCAGCAAAATCCTCTGAAAACTTCGCAACTTCCCCAAGGTCAATGCGGGAAGAATTCTCGAAGTGAAGGTGGTTGTCAACGTCGTTATTAGTTCCAATCAGTTTGCAAGTCATTGAGTAAACACAATTGGGTTTAACAGCGTCAGTAGTCGTGCCATAGGAAGTTAAACGAATAGGATTGGCGAATGGTGACCCTCCATTCATGCCGGAGGTCGCAATTGATGCGTGAGAGGAGACAAAGCCCTTAGAATTAATCAAAAGCGATGCAGCCTGAAAAATTGAGATGAGTAAGATTGGATAAGCAACAGCACTTGTACCCAGCATAGCGGAAACGACGGTACCTCGACACCGGCTTGGCCAAAGAAGTTTACTCGAACAGGGTGTGAAGTAGAGTTAGCGCTTGCATTTGCATTGGCAACCATGTCGTTAGGATTCGGTATTGAAGTAATGGCCGGATAAGCGGGACGGAATGAAAGGTCTACGGATTGGATTGAGCAACAGATAATAAAGTGCAGTGAAAATAAATAGTGTAGATTGAGTTGCAGTGTTGGGTATGAGAGATAGTAATGTAAAGAGTGAGGAGAGGATTGAACATGTTTGCCATTGGACTTCGGAGTTCTATATAGACAGGGTTCGTGACACCATGTTCCGTAGATTGAGATGCAAATCACACTGGACATTCTACGCATGAGAAACGCGGAGCAATGAGCTGACTGGCGAAGAAATGGCATTGATCCTGGTCACGACTATGAAATCGCAACGCCGGCGTATTGGAACGTCTGGACCTGCCTACACCGTGCACTACCAAATTGCGTTTGACCCAATAGGTTTTTGACTGCGCATGACAGCAGCATGCGTATCTCGCCCTCACAATGATTGGGCATGCAATGAGAAGAGGAGCGGCAGTGGGCGTGGACGAAATGAGAAAGTGTCGAGTCCGGTGGAAGTGCAGCAGTAACTCAGTAAGGATCGCGTCGCAGCGACATCTAGTTGCAAACAACAACAACTGATGAACGGCCGGGCCTAGAACAGCCAGAACCGTCGTCCCTCGTTTCAACGGGTCTAATCAGTTCGTAAACTCAGTCGGTAGAGACACCAACGGCATCGACTTTTTTCGTATCCAACACCATCTCCTCTTTATGTATGATGATCCATCTCAAATTGTCCCTACGACTACCACGACTACTTTCTCAATGAATTGTGAAATCGCAAAAGGTCAACAGTTCATGGACGCTAGATTGATTGAAACTGCTACAGATCCACTGAATCCGACTATCAAAGAACGTGGGATCTATTAAATTCCTCCCAAAGGTTTACACATTGTTGAACAATTTATTACTTAGGATGGAATCCATGCATATCATTTGGTTTGAGTCTTTACAGTCAACCGCTCTGCATGAAGTTGTTTATAGATCTCGAAAGACGTCCAACAGATGATGGGATTCATATCACTCCCAATGCGATTCGTATAGTCTTTAAAAGATTCTCAGGTGGTTGTCAAACAAATTATGTAGTAGAGCCCACTGATGAGCAGCGTGGTAATGCGGCAAAGGCATTTATGGATAATGCTCATTTGCCTGACAACTATGATTGAAGTTGGGGAAGTCAATTATGTACGAGAAAGATCTGTGACGGGCAACTCTTTACTCATCAAACACGTCTTTTCTAGTTGATTTTTCAACATTTTGTGGATGTGAAGAGGCTGCTGACCTTCTAGCCCAATCTATTTGATATGGTCTAATCACTCTTCATATCAACCAAACCAAAGGTGGTGATAAGGTAGCACAAGTCAATGTACCTAAGTATGAGCTCTGATGAATGAAACACGTGGTGCAGCTAGTCTAGAGGGTGATTTCCGGTATCTATACGATGTGATTTATCGGATCACTGATGAAGGAAGGAGGTTGAGTGGCTCGGAAAGCAAAGGATCAAAACAAGACAAAGCAGGAGATACATCATCTACTCATTCAGCTGAGCCTATAAATCCTCATCGTAGACCTTGACCATCTGTCCAAGCCACCAGTTTAGCTAAAAAATCCTGCGAGATATCTACATTCAGATCCATCGGAAGGTTTAGGTTGAGGAAAGGATGCTACTAGTTCAATAGCAAGACTCAGGGCTTTCTTAAATGAACCATCTCTTATATCTTTGTTTTGAAACTTTCCACAATCTCATATCTGTGAAGAGAATCCACATCATTGGATTGATGTACAAGGGTGTAGAAGAAGGTTTGTCATCTACGGCGGTAGGAGTGGGACAATCAAAGAGAAAAATGTCACCTAATGGAACAACATCAAGAGACATTAGTGTCAACAGCCTTATTGATCTTTAATACTTACCTTCCACCTGGATCACTGTCTGAATTGAATATTGATCATGTATCAAGAGGAGATGTGATTAGTTATATGGCTAAAGCTGTAGATGAAGTTAAAGGAAACTTAATGCCTAGTGTGTATATTGCTATGCCAGAACTTTGATCTGCTCAAGCTCAATCCCTTACAAAATTACAAGAGAATTCTAGATCAGATCTATTGGTAAGTATGTATTCATTTTTCGAGATCTGACAGATTAAAAAATGGATTATTCTCATTCTAATGAGGTTTTGTTTTGTTTTTTGTTTCTTTAAATTGATGGCAACATATCAAGTACCAAAATCTGTTATAACTGAAAGATTTCTAGAACTTTTAGCATCACAACAGTGAAGCACTACAAGCAATGGGAAATGAAAATCAATCATTAAAATCAACAAAACTACTACTTCACCTAAACCTCATTTATCAGTTTCTTGTATCAAAATAAGGAAAACCTTGTGGGAAAGACAAAATCAGTGATAACTTGTGTTCCTGGATGTACATTGTGAGAGCACCCACTATCATGATGGTGTTTTATCATAAGTTTTGCGTTCCAGAGCGCGAAATTTGATCGTGCGTGTAACAACTAATTTGGTAAACGCCTGAAATCCACTATCAGGTGTTTTACCATATGATTTACAAACAATAAATCACTGTAGATCAACCAGATCCACAGTGGTCTGATTTTGAAATGAATCATTGTACATTTTTTATAAACTTCATCCAAAATTAAATCTTTTCATCATCACAATGCCCGCTTCAGTGAAAAGGCAGATTCACAGGGGCCAAAAACAGAGCTCACGTAGAGGTGAGCATGAAAAGCCTCCCATATTTGTTCAAAAAACAATCATTTCCATCTATCCTTTCATGTCACAATTTTTTGTTGTGTTCAGGTGATCAGCATGCAAAATTTCCATCTTGCTCAAGTTCGCTCAAGTTTGCTCAAGCATGCTCATCTTCATCTTGATTGAGCATTCCAAATGAGCATTTCTTGAGCATAGATGAGTACTCAGGAATCAGCTGGCACACCTCCACATACTCAGAATTGTGCCCATTATAGTCAAGCCTTTGAAATTGTCTGTACAGACTGAGCGTTCAGTCAGGGCCTGAGATGACCTGAGCAGATCTGGTAGCCCTCCCTCAGGCTCCTTGGCTGAGCAATAAAGTCTGAGGAAGCCTGTATCATCTGCTCAGCTCTCAGCTCATGTTGATCATTTCTGATTACATGATCAACATGAGCTGAACACAGTCAGTTTTGGAAGGAAAAAAGTAGAAAACTTGGAGAAAACCTGAAGCTTTTCATGCTCACCTCTATGTGAGCTTTTGTTTTGGACCCTGTGATTCATGGGCTTTTGAAATTTTCAAATGACAACAAGGAACAGCAAGAATACAACCAAATGGTCTTTGAGTTCTTGTTTAATAGACCTCACACACCACCTCCACCTCCTCAGACTCGAATCCAAATAGATCAAGATCGAGAATGATGTGCTCAGCAACTTTATGATGATTACTTCACACCCAACGCTAGATATGAGTGCAAATTCGAACATAGATTTTGAATGAGTAAAGCATTATGTATGAGAATAATTGAAGATCTACAAGTACATGATTGATTCTGGATTCAAAAGCCAGATGTGTGTGGAGTGATGGGTCTCACAGTCTATCAGAAAGTAGTTTGTGCTTTGAAACAGCTCACATTTGGAATTCCAGCAGATGCCACCGACAACTATGTTGGTATTGGGGAGACAACAGCTACATTGACTCTCAAATTATTCATGAAGCATGTAAATGAGATCTATGGTCCGGATTACCTTCGACCACCAAATTCTGAGGATCTCAATCAAATTACAAAAGAATATGAACTACGTGGCTTACCTGGTTGTAAAGGAAGCCTTGATGGTATGCATTGAGCTTGGAAGAACTGTCCACTTGCCTGGAGTGGACAGTACGAAGGCAAAGAACACACACCAACTGTAGTTCTTGAAGCAGTTGCCTCCAAAGATCTCACAGTCTGGCATCCATTCTTCAGAACTCCAGGTTCCCTTAACAATATCAACATACTGAATTGTTCTTTCCTTGTCACCGACTTCCTCAAAGGTGAGTCTAGTCAACTTTTCTTACATTTCATGATCTGACTCATGTTTTTTTAGGAACCAAGGATGAAGTTCACTTCATGGTCAATGGGAAACTCTACAAGCAAGGATACTACCTTGGTGATGGAATTTACCCTGACTGGCCAACCATTGTCAAAGCACCATGAGCTCGCCAAGAAAAGACATCAAGCAATGCTTTGGAGTAATTCAAATTCAATTTGGGATAACTCACATGCCATGTCAAATGTGGTATCTAGTCGACATGCACTTGGCTATGATGTGCTGCATAGTCTTACATAATATGATCATTCAAGATCAAGGTACACTTGATCCTATCATTGAAGCATACACTTCTGAAACAAGAATCATTCCAAGATTACAAGATCCAGTGGTACAAAACACTCTGATGGAATACCTTCAGAATACCCTCTGTCTGAGAGATTCACAAGTTCATTCCGAGCTTCAGCACAATCTCACAATGGATCTCTGGCTGAAGGAAGCAGATCAATGATGGTTTCTCTTGGTTCAAAAACAAGTTATACTGCATTGCTTTTAATCACACATTACTACTTAGATGTTATACTGACACTTTATATCTATTTTCTTTGAGGATTAATAATTATACTGTAATTGTACTTTACATGATTATGAAAGACTGATAGTGATGATAATGATATGGAAATATAGCTATTGATATCGCTTAGCAACTTCTTCTTTCAAGCCTTGTAATATTTTCTTTGAAATCTCATCAGGACAGTCTTCCTCCTTTGCGCGAGTGATTTCCAGATCCTTGCTTTTAAGCTTGCTTGACATCAAGTTATTTGTGATTCAATTCGATTCTTCGCTAGCATCAGCTCGTCGACTTGCTACTGCAGTGAATGCAGCCATTGCTTCAATTCTGGATTTATCATCATGAGACTCTCGCTTTGATTCAATTCGCTGTTCCTTTGCCGCTTTGCCACCAATAGGATGTTCTCTGTCATCGGGCCCAGCATGTGTGTTAGCCAAAGATGATTCATTCTGAGTCGCATCTGGAGTTGGATTTGGAAGGATGTCAGCAGGGGGTGGTGGAGGGGGGTGATTGTGCTGGTTGATAAGCCGAGTATCCCACTTCGTCTTGTACCTAAGTTTCTGCCAAGCCGTTGTAGTATTTAAAGCTCAAGAAGAGCTTTACAACACCTAAGAAGGGATAATCTACTACATGTAATATAGTAGAAGTTGCCTAAAGACTGCCTTCTTCAAAGAAACCAGCACAAGGGCACCTGCTGACCACTTTGTGATAACAGAGAAAAAGATATAGGCACCAGAGAAATAAAGCAATACTGTTGTGAAGTATTATTCCTAGATTTTAAGCGCAAAAATACACACACTATGTTATTACTAGCAATACTGTTGGTAAGTATTATTCCCAATTTGACTTATAGTCTTCAACACACGTAAATAAATTTCTCCTTGCTTTGAAGGGGCGGATTTAAGTGATCTTAGTACAAATATAGTAAATAAATGATGATTTATAACACTACAACAAAGGTATAAGATGCAGAAAGGGGAACAACAATTCCAAAATCATCAAAGAGTACTTTTATCCACATGTAACAACCTCTACAATAGTCAACAGCCTCAAAAACCAGTCAAATCCGCCTAAAGAACCCTAAAAACCATGTAATGACGCAGAGTAATGATATTGTTACTAATGTATGATGTAATCTTCACAGCCAAAAGTGATCAATAACGCAATGATTTAATGTACAGCACTTCTTAAGATGAATACAGGTGATTTTTTCCTTGTAAACTAGCTGCAAACCAATTTTTGAGATTACAAATTTTTTCAGGAGTGGTCCAATTTTGATCTACTATAGTGCATCTTGTAGCCCTTGTGATACTGATCATTTATGACACCCATATGACCTATTTCTGATGAGTTATGAGTAAGATATTGAGTTGTGAAGTTAAGGTTTTTGGTGTTACATGTTGACTTGTGACTGTAAATTCAAGATTCACACCAATTTCTTATTTGCCTTATAACTTTTTACATAAACCTCCGTTACTAATGATTTAAAGTTTGTACATTATGTAATCCACTCTTCTGCGTTGAATGAGCTATCTACCAACTTAATCTGACGTCATTTGAAATATGTAATTAGCTGAAAACCTTCATTTTCCACGAAATTCACCCATTTTCTTCACTTTTCACAGCTGCTACTCTCTTTTTCTTGCTCATGTAATATGACATCATCTTCTAGAACCTTAAAAATCCCGGTAAATCCTCTTGGCAACCTTAATTTCCACTACTACCACCATTACATATGTAAACTACACGCATAACCCTTGTTTACCAACTTTGAAAAAGTACCTTTCTGCTAATAACTTCTGTTTTCCCTTATCAACCTTGAAGATTAAAATTGTTACTGTATAATAAAGTGTTTTTCTTTCATATTCTAACCTTATAAAACCCATAACTTAATTATAAACAACCTAAAAACCATTTTCCAACTTTTACACCTATATTTTCAAATTTTTCTTATCTTTTCTTTTTCTGTCTTTTTGTAATGACTTTGTAAGTACACTATATTTATCTTAAGAATATTTTGAAATGAGATGACATAATATTGAGCTAATAAGTATACATAAGCTGCTAAGAGCTTCAATTGATCTGAAAACCTGAATTTTGAATTTCCTGCTATACTGAAGTTTCCTAATAACTTGGTAAAGTAATGATGATTAATTTTCTTGCTTGATATCATAAATAGATCACCACACCGTGAGAAACTTGAAAGAGGTTTTCATCTCGGCTTGGTACACTTTCATCGCATCAAAAATCCACGTATCAGGCGATGTTCCCAATGGTGGATCATGCTCCAAGAAAGCATAGATCCCAGAGAACTTCTGGGTTGATGGATTCATTGTACGCCATCTGAAAGGTAATTTAAACTTTGAATTCCAATACATCTGGTAAATTCAATGTGATATACTACTCACTGATTCTTACACATCTTGCCTGTTTGTTGAGAGTGCGAGTGATTATTGAAATGAGCTGTGAGATATTCAAAAAAGGCCTTGCTTGACAAGTTGTTAGAGTGTTTGGGTTGAGTGCTGGTGACAATCCAAGATATTGCTAGCTGCTTGTGCTTAGCTTCAGTCCAATTACCTCCTCGTTTGGTGGCTGTTGAAGTAGCAGGATCAGGTGGAAGGGACATTTTGAATCAGTTGATGGTGCAGGGAAGATTTGAAGTTTTGAAGTTGTGAAGTGTTGAGGCTTCAAAATGTCAAAGAAACCAAAGTTGATTGACCTGGTTGACCAATTCAATGTGTCAAATTGTAAGATAATGCTTGATTTAGGCTTGCATAGATTTAGACAACCCTGATGCATCATTTGACACATTCACAGGGAGCACAACCGTAAAACAGGTCCATAGTGGACCTGTAGATAATTTAGTGTTAAAGTAACACCAATTCACGTTGTTAGAGCAACCATAGTGGGTGCTCTAAGTAGGAGAAATTCATGTCTCAAACCTGTGTACTGGCTGGTTGCCAAATTGTCTGGTATGTAAATATCCTGATTTATTCAATAATAGGGGTTGGGCGATGGTTCAACCAACTTTGGCCGACATAGGATTCTGCCACACAAAGACCATTGAAGTCGCCCAAAGTGGTTCAAGCTAGAGCTCCTGAGATATCACAGGTTTATCCCGTGTCCAGCTGCCTTGACCAACACAATTTTTTCATAGGCAGCCAAGTTTTGGGGCAGTGCCATTCTGTGACAGGCGTCTCAGGCTAACCTCTATTTGGTCTACCAGAAGCTTTTGGCTTGGCGACTTGGAGAAATATTTGAACAGATAACCCAACAGACGGTTGGGGTTACGTGCTGGGCCCATCCTATTTTTTTGCTGCCATAAAAGTTGTCCAAAAAAATAAGGGATTCTTTGATATTGTTTGAATTGGGTTTAAACAGGGGCTGATTGGCTGCAAGGAAAATCCAAACTACCATTGAATAGCTGTGCTGCCGCACTTTGCCCCAACCCCTGATGACCTGCTTGGATCCTTGGGGTTGGGGAGCATTTCAAAAGATTCTTGAAGA